TTTTTTTTTTTTTTTCCAGCGGTCCTAATCCTCTTCCATATGATTATAACGTTTATGCAAAAAAAAAAAGGTTTCCATTAATAAAAGTTAAGTCAAAATTATTCGATTTTTCTGTGGCTTTTTTCATTAAATACGGTACGGTTTAAGAAAATAAATGCAAATAAAGTTGTTGCTATTAGACAATCATAAATCTTAAGCAAACTTTAGCAGCTTGAAACTGATTTAAAATGTCTGCATTTTCAATCACTTGGATTTTATCCCTTTAAATGTTGGTAATATTTGCATGATTGATTTTTACAAAAACAAAACAAAAATAACCCCAATGAATGACATCTAATAAATTTGAAAATGTTAATGCTTTGGTGTCTTTAGCTTTAGATAGGCAAAGATTGGATAATTTAAATGTCATACCAGATACTACCTTTGGATACCTTTGTTTTTTTGAGATTTAAATTGGGTTTTGGAGGAGATTAATAAGGCATTTTTTGCAATGTCCATATGGCAGTAAATCTGTTGTAGACAAAAGGTACAATTTCTTTGAATGTGTTTTCTATGTAACCTGATTATGAATAAATTGCTCCACCAGGCAGTGGTCAAAGCCATGGAACTGCTGGCTCAGGAGGGAAAGATAAAGGAGAAAATCTACGGCAAGCAAAAGATTTACTTTGCAGATCAGGTTAGTATACAAATATATAATGTTTTACTGCTTTGGGTTTGAGGATGTGCGACCTTCTGCCATCTGAATCTCACCTTTACTGATCTCACCTGCAGTCTCAGTTCAGAGATGTGAACGATGCAGACCTTAAAGCCATGGATAAACAGATTTCAGAGCTCAGTGCAGAGGTGCAGACTTTAACACAGAGCTGCAAGCAGCTAGATACAGGTAGATGACTCAACAGATTCAACCTGATTTTTCTCTTATAATGCTGTTTGATCCAGTGAACGAAATGCATTTTTTTTGAGAATATGTTTGCATCTGTGTTATAACAGAACTGAAGGAGCTAAACTGCTCCCTCACAACGGAGGAAATGAGAGCAGAAATCCAGGAGCTGAAAGCGGAGTGTTCCGGGTACAGAGCGCGTCTGGAGAAAATAAAGTCGGCTACTAATCACGTCACGCCAGAAGAAAAAGAGAAGGTGTTTACCTGCAGAAAACATCAGCTAATCTCTTACTTTGGTAGCTGTTCTGTTCTTTTACAAAATGATATGCTTGATTTAATTCACAGGTTTATAAAGAGCGTGATGTTTATGTGAAAGAGTGGAAAAAGAGGAAGAGACTGGTAATGCATTTTATTAGAATAAAGCCTTTTAAAATTATAAAGCCTAAATTTAATGGGTTTTTTTGTCACCTCAGGCTTCAGACATGATGAATGCCATCCTAGAGGGATATCCAAAAAGCAAAAAAGAGTTCTTGGTAAGCTGAGAAAACAAAGTAATCAAACTTGTTTTCGCCAAAAATGTCCGTCGACCTTCAATAGTTCTGTTATTGTTCTGCAGGAAGAAGTGGGAGTGGAAACGGATGAGGACTGTAAGGTGGTTTTTCCCAACACCTGAACAAAACCACTACACAACCCATGAAAGACTGAATCAGACATCAGAGCCACAGAGGAAACCTTATTTAGAAACGTTCTTTGAATAAATACGTTTAACCGTTTGCAGCATGTTTGTACATCAGTATTAGCTGAACTCTCCATATAAATGTTTCAGGCCTGTGATCTAAGAGGCAACAGTGTTTTTTGTTTTTTTTTTCTTTTAAAGCCATAAAAGCATCCGAGTTCACGGTAAATATGTCAACATATAAATATTAAGAGTTCTTGTACGTATTTAAGCTGTTTAGAACTGTTTATTTGTCCCCATTTTATAAACAAAATGTTTCCATTTAATTTAAAGTTCATGATCACATCATCTCTAATGTTCTATCACAATGCTTAAGTATAAATAAAAGTTTTTATGTTAATTTCACAGCTGAGTTTGTTTTCTATAGTTTGAACTTGCACTTTTCTTCCTTAAAATTAAACTTCATCATCATGGGGAATGATGGCCTAGTGCAGAGGTCTTCAACAGGGGGTCCGCGACCCCTAGGGGGTCCGCGGAGGTACTGCATGGGGGTCGCGGAAGTCTTGGTTGATTACTTTTTTTAATATTCCCTCCTGCAATTTTTTGCACTAATTAAAATGTCTTTAAATACACATTAACANAATATTCCCTCCTGCAATTTTTTGCACTAATTAAAATGTCTTTAAATACACATTAACATGAATTCAACACACTTAAGGAAACATAAATGGAAGCAGAAGATGTCCTTCAGTCATCAATGCTCACATTTAGCGACACACAGGGGCTCTTTCAAACTGGGCACCATTTCATTCACAACACCTGTCCCATTAACCAGGAATCAGAATCAGAAATACTTTAATAATCTCAGGGAGAAATTACTTTGGTTACATGACTCCATATGTAATAGAGTGACTATAGGACCAGTTTGATATAAAACAATTTCATACAATATATATAATTAGGGGGTCCCCGCTCCATCTTGCCATCAGTTAGGGGGTCCTTGGCCTCAAAAACATTGAAGACCCATGGCCTAGTGGTTAGAGCCGTGCGCTTGTGCTCTGAGAAGGTATCAGGTACCTGGTTTGATCCTCACAGCCTGCACTCTGGGTCATTGAGCAAAGCGCTTAACCCCAAACTGCTCCCCCCAGTGGCAGCCCACTTTTACCCAAGGGAATGGGTTAAAATGCAGTGTAAATTTCTCGAAATAAAGTGTTAGTATGTTAGCAGAGTAACTCACACAGACAACAGGGGATACTGTTGTCTGTGTGAGTTACCAGTTTCCTTCAGACTGGTGCCCAGTTTCCTTCAGACTGGTGCCCTTTTATTTAAACAGACACAGGTGCATTCATTCAGTCACTAATTAGGTCACATGACACTCTGCAATAGGATTGCTTGGTTCCAAAAATAAAAATAAACATATCAAATGAAAATGAGAGCACAATATTTATAAATCTCAACATAAAGTTCAACCTACCATGTCAATAACTGCCAACTGTGTTTTTAAGATTCAACTGTAAATTACAATCAGCAATTATACTTCATGAGAACATAGAAGGAGGGCTGCACAGTGGTGCAATGGTTGCAGGTTCTGGGTTCAATTCCTGTTCCAGGGTCTTTCTGCATGTTCTCCCTGAGCATGCATGGGTTCTCCAGTGTCCAAAAACTTGACTGTTACCGGTAGGTTACTCGGCTTCTCTAAATTCTCCCTAGGTGTGTGTGAATCATTGTCCGGTTTGCCTCTCTGTTGCCCTGAGATAGACTGGCGACCTGCCCAGGGTGTACCTTTCCTCTCGCCTGTAGACAGCTGGAGCACCAGCGACCCCAGCAGGGATATGGGTGATAGAAAAAAGATGGATGAAATGCAGAACAGTCAACTTCGTAAAGTAGAACCCATGGTACTTGTATTAGAGTTTAAGTATCTAATAAACATACCTGGTTAGTTTGAAATGTTCAAGTAACTGAAAGTAATACAGCAAAAATTTTGAATATTTTTTATTTCACGATTCAATTCTTTTATAAATCATGTTTTCATAAGCACAGAAGTGTTACAGCAGGGATGAAGCATTCAAGGTGATCCGATTTATAGCAAATGAAAGCTGTAGTGCCAGTAAACATATACTGAACAATATAACTTATGGAAACATTTCCCATATTTGCATTATAACAACTTATTTTAATGTTGTATAAAAAAAAAAGGCTCGTCAAAGCCAACACTTTCCTGAAAAGAGACAATTTAAACTCACTTCACTGAGCAAAAGAACAGCAAATTAACATTTACAACACTTCTTTTTCTACTTAAGTCTCTATTACAGAGCACTTCATTCACAGTAAAAACATTTAAAGCAAACATCGAGGCTAGAAATTGAGGCACCATATGGTATGCTCCTGAAAACACATAGAAGTGCTTGTAATCTGCAGTTAGAACTGGAAACATTCATAATGATAAAAAAAAAGGTCAGGAGTGGGTTGATGTTTGTGCACTGAAGCAAGAAAAGCTCTCCTGTTCAGAGTAAAGCTACACGGTTATTGGTAATAACGGCGAAGAGCTATGAAATCTCCGTCACGTTACTGTATTGATCAAAAGACACAGCAGACAAACACTATAATATATTAATTCTATGAAAAGATTTTTAATCAAAGATCTTTTAAATTTAGATCCATAAATTAACAGAAATTGGAGGCAAACTTGGAGAAGCAACTGCTTTTCTGCTGCTTCATTTCAAACACCTTGTTTTATATATTATTTTATTGGAAACTTTTTACCATATTATCAGTTTCTTTTAAGGAACTTGTAATTCTTCAAAATGATAAAGAGAACAGTTACTATATGAAGCAATTAAAACTAGATGCTATCTGCGTGCTACATTTAGCTTAAAATCTTGCGTCAGCATGTCATAGATGAGTTAAAATATAACAGAGACATCATTTCCCCAACAGTAAAGAGGTTCAAAGGTGGCTCTTCTGCAGTATTTCCTGTCTTAATCCAAGGCAGCATTTCATCCTCGTAGTGTTTGTGGAGGTAATTCAGGGAATCTGATGAGTCGACCTGAGGGTAAACACTGTTGCATGGGCTGAAGGTGATTGCTATTTAAATTCAACTCCTGGGAGTCAGGAGCAGGTTAAAGGTCCATTTCTGGAAGCTAGCCAGAGGTTTTCCCTTTACTAATACAGCTGACCATTGAGCTGCCGGAGCACGCCAACAACAAATTCCCGCAGCGTCTGAGAAGACAAGAAGAAAACAATCAATCATTAATCAATCGTTAATCAACTCTGCAGATTAAGGTCTGATATTTTGGTTTTAAAGCAGAGCCTACCTGCGGCTTGCAGTGCTCCTCGATCCAGCTAAAAACACACGCAGACAGTTCTTGGAAGCTGCTCATGGAGACAGAATTACTGAAGGACACAAACAGCGAGTCCATGATGTTCTGAAAGATGTTGAACTTGACCTGGTCAGAAACCTGATCCTCTCCCTGCTGCGGATTGTTCTGGTGGGCTTTAACTATGTGCTCATAGTTCCTGGAAAGAAAAAAAAAAAATTTTAGTAAGTAGCTTCTGTTTGAAAAGAAAAAAAAATTTATTAATTGTTTTCAAATCCTAATCCAGATTAAGGGAGGTCTATTTTAAAAAAAAATAAAAAGAAGGGAGATGGGATTCATTTCCTAACGTTTTCATGATCTTCAGTGCCATCACTTCTTTTCTTAGCAGAGAAACTTCCTCTTCTTGCTTCTTCTTTTCTTTATGAAGAAAATGGATGTAATCGATCGCTGAAATCATAAAATAGACACGTATTCGTCAGTGATTACATCACTAGGAAAATAACTAGGAGGTGTTGCACATGCCGCTTCTCCTTTTACTATTTTTAACTACTGATTGCAGGGTTTATTTATTTAGCAGACGCTTTTATCCAAAGCGACTGCAGCCAAACCAGATAAAAAGTAAACGAAGAAAGAAACTGTTTTTCTACCGGTTAAACTTACAATACAGGAGAATCTTTGGATGATGATAAATTTAAAGCTTCATTGAAAAGATGGTTTATTTCTGTAATTCAGATTAGGGCTGCAACTAATGATCATTTTGCAAATCGATTGATTTGTTGATTACTTTTTCTATTAATTGATTAATAACTGGATAGCCAAAGAGGGATTTTTATGAAATTAAACCAGGTTAACCTAAAACTTTTTCATTTCAGGAGTGTTTGTACATTTTTTTTAAACAATTTTGGTGTAATTACTGCTCTAGGTGGGTCCCTCTGTCAGCTTACGATATATTTTAGAGTCTCTGTACTCCAGTTAACGATTAATCCATTTCTAAATTAGTTGATTATTCAAAAAGCGATTAATCGTGAGGAATTGTTTCAGTGCTAATATCGATTTATTTTTGTTTTGTTTCTCAGAACATGAAAGATCAATCATTTGACGAGTTTAAAATAATAATGTAAGGCATCTAAAAATAACAGAAACACATGTCCCTATGCTGTGCAGTTTTACACCATATAATTGGGGCTTTTTTTTAGATGAATCGCTGCATCAATGCAGCTCAGCTTGAATCTGCTGAGGTGTTAAAAAAGGATGGGTAGCCCGGAGAGCAGCCTTCAGCACGGCTACATTGTTGGGTCTAATGTTGTTTCATCGATTAGCCCTACACAAAGAACCTGACTGTGCTGCTCCTGTCCTCTCTGCACCTATGTGTGGAAAGAAGCCCTGAATCCAAACTCTTCAACAGAATTTGCTTCAAAATCCCCTCAAGGCTGCTGTAATTCCTGTAGCTTGGTTCCTTGTTCAACCAAACCTTTTTATTACACTCAATTTTCCACGAATATGCATTGATACTGCACTCTAAAGAGCAAACTACCTTAGCAATGACCTTTCTGTGTTGAACATGCTGGTCAAATGGCTTATCAGTAGATTTTGTTACGCCTATGTCAGCTAGAGTGAAACATTTATTTTTTTATTGCAGCCTAATGTTATCTTACATTTCAAACACAGAGAATCATTTTTCTTTCCCATTCTAAGTTACAGTCTAAATACATCATATGTGTAATAAGACTATAGATTTGTAAAGGTTTCAGTAAAATTACACATTTTCAACGAGATTCTAAACTGTTAAGATTCCCCCTATTGGGAAAATGTTTGGCAGAAAACAAAAACATATATCCTACTTTATAAAAATTTTTTGTGCAGTTTTGAATTAAAACCAAACAGCAAAACATTTGCTAATGGTGAAAATGAACAATAAAGAGAATTTGTTCCTGTGTGTTGGGTTGAGTGGTGGAGAAAATTGACTCAAAATTTTAATCGCAATATTTTGAGATGTTTTTTTATAATGAAAACAGAAAAACGAAGCATGTACTATCACCCAACTTTTAAAATATAATTTTTAAATATACAAACAGCGCAAGACAGCACCAGAGTTTGGTTTGTTTCTTTAGCAATTCTAGATTGCTACAGCTGGGTGACGGGTATCGTCTAAAGTTTAATGAAATTTAAGGTATATTGACCATAAACCAAACTAGTTTTAACACACAAATTTCTCAGGATGCTTAAACAAAACATTTTCTTAAGCATTTCTGAAACTGTGTAAAAGGACATGTAGTTTAAATCTTACTTTTTTGAAGAATAGTAGCCTTGCTCATTTTCTGTGCTCCAACAGAAAACTCAGACTGCTGTTGGCAGGTTGGAACGATTACTTGCAGGTCGTCATAGCCTTTCTGGAGTCAGAATAAAAGAAAAAAATTTAAAGAACCACTAAAACATGCTGCATTTTTGATGATCGGAATAACAAAATTGGCATCGCAGTAGGACACCTTGATTGCGTCTCTGCGTTTCTGCTCAGCTTGTGTGTGTGCTTGTCTCCGTCGATCTTTGTACGAGTCCTTATACGATGGCTCGTGCCTGTAGTCGCTGTCTTCGTCATCTGTTTGGGAACAAATTTACTGATATTGTGAATAAATATTTAAATCGGCAGCGTGTTTTACATAGTTGATACATAATTTCCTTCAAGCTATTCCTGAAAGCATTTTTTGGATGTATTCCCACTCCCAGAAACACTGATAACAATGTAGGATTATCCATTTCAAAGAAATCTTAGCATTTTTTAGTTTTAATGGAGTAAAATTTAAACAGTACTATAGAAAATGCACAATCAAATTGAGTAGTGTTGTCTACAGTGACTGAAAGATAATCTAACATGCTATACAAGATCTGTAAATACTGACAAGAAAGTACAAATCTTCTCTAAAAGAAAGACAATACCTGTATTTGGTACTGAAGAGGCACTTGTGGAGCCGATACTGTTTGCTCTGGACACAATGCTACCTTTTCTGACAGTCTCAGCAAAGAAATCTGTACAAAAAAATAAAACAGCAGTCATTAAAATACTAAAAATTAAAGTAAACGTGTTTATTATCGCCTATACTTAGAGATAAAGAAGATCGCAAAGAAAATATCTGGAAAAAAGATTAAATATGCCTCCAAGAAGTACTCACTGGTGTCAAAGCCATTGTCGCTGAAAGCCCCATCTGTCTGCCCAGCCATCACCAAGCAGCAAAAAAAGCAAGAGAACAGAAACTGTGAGGTTGGATTGACTGTGGAAAAATATGGGCTGCTCCAATTATGTTGACAAAAGAATAACAAGCTGGTCTAAACCCCCACTGAGCACTGGCCTGATTTTCTGAGCACAGATATAGCAAAAGATAAATGATGTGTCAAATAGATTTTCCTGATCCACGTGGGGCCAACACGGCACCATGTTTATTTTAGCAAAGATTTTCCATCAATTATGTTCCAAAAAGCACTGTTCACTTTTAGAGTGCCTTTAAAATCGAGTGTATTTTGCAGTGATGGAGTATAAAGTCAGTAAACACGTATACGTCTTAATTTAAGGCTCAAACTTCATTATATAAGATAAAATAAACACTTTTTTTCCTTCATCGCGTTTGCTCCATAAAAAATGCTGTAATAAATATCAGATAAGTAAAGGATATAAGGATATCTGATGACATTTTAAAGGCTAAGTGTGAGATTATTGTATCACAACAAGAACAAATTTCGGCTGTAAATCTCACTTGTTTTATAATCTGATGATAGTGTAACTGGTTTAATCACTTTCTTTTTGAATGTGGAATAAAATATTCCACATAAATGCATATATTTGATGCGGAAAATTTTGTTTTTCTTTTCAATCGTCTTTGTTTACTTTGCTAGCATGCTAGCCATCTGCTCTAACGTCACTGAACGTGATGAAGCTAACATCACATTAGCCGCGAGGCAACAACAACCGCTGCTCATACTTCACTTCTCCAAAACACGAGAAAAAAACGACTTATCAAACATTACCGAGGTCCAAATAAATAGAAAAAATCAAAATGCATCAAGTTAAAAGGTGGTTTATAAAAGTGGCTTACTTTCCAGTGATCTTCTGGAGACGTTGTCGGATCCGTCATTTTGGAACGCTATTGCTACATAAACTAATAGCACAGTTGCCTTCAGGTGCTCCTCGGACAAAACTTCAAGAAGAAGTCAAGACGCCTGTTCATTTTGAAATTACATTTCAAAATTAAGAATTAAGCCCTTCTGCTGCAGACAAAACTTTATTAAGGGTCTCATATTTGCTATTTTCCCAAGCAATAGATTATTCTGTTCATTGTGGCAAAGCCTACGCAGTAGCTCAAGCATTTACCGCAGAGGAACAAATGGGAGTCGTAGAGGGTTTCAAAGTAAAGAGTAACCGTCAAATTAGCCTTGTAAATATATTTTATGTTATTTGTTTACATAAAGTATTTTCTTGTCTAATAAAAAAAAAACTAAACAAATGGCAACGTTCGAAGTTGAGGTTAAGAATATTAAAGACCAATTATCGAGAGGACGTTGAATGCAACACATCAGTCTATATATAATGGCTGCCTTTTACCACATGGAGGCGCTGTTTCACTGCACTTGTCACATTTACCTGACGTAAATTTTATCTACTGAATAATTCCTCGACCATATAATACAAAGGAGTTTCCTGGGGAATAAGCTTCTTCTTATTTATATATAGTCAATAACAACGTATAGTCTTTGACCCCCTAGCTCATGTTCAAGACACATCAAAGGTTTTTAAACATTATATGATTGGAAAGTTAGTTATTAAATGGTTAAAATATTTACTTATTAGGAAAAAAAATAACATTTTGCATCATCAGATTGATTTTAACCACACGGAGGCGCTGTTTTCTAATATTTGCCAAAGTCTCCTGTTTTACCTGACTTGCAATTAACTAACCCCCAGTGATACTATCATAGAAATACTATTTCAGAGTAATACTAAGCTCTAGTGTAGAGATTTGTATCATTTACTCAAGGTATTTCCATTGTTTTATCCCTGTGTTAAAGTTATTCATGTGCAAATACAGATAAAATAACCCCATTTACCTAACTTCATATTTTTCTTTATTTATTTATCATGTTTAACTTTCTTTTTCTAACCATCCACCTATTTCAATCATTTTACTAACGGTTGCTACATTTATCTTCCACCCTGTGCTCAGCACCAGGTTCTGTTGCTGTCACACACAGGAAGTAACTCTTCTGCTTTTGTGCTTTTGTGGTTTCTGACTTAGTTACAGAGTGTTTCACACTCCCTCTCCTTCCTCTCACATACAGGCCTTTGAGTTTTACTTGGCAGAAAAGTTTTCAACTAGTTCAGATAGTAGTCAGTGAGGCGCAGGCTAGTCTTGTTCTGGAAGAAACTGACAAGGGTTTTTACATTGTACCTAGATATGTTAATCAGAGGGCAAACATGAGGACCACCCTGATTTTTTCAGCAGTTTTTGTGACAGCAGGACAAACAAGATTTCAGTGACCCAGAGACTTGATGTTCATCACCTTGAAAGGCCCAGGACTATCTTTTTCAACATTTGGAGTGATCACCTCTTGTTACTCTGCTGTGCAACACTGATTTCTTGGCTGAATTGGTTTGTGTACAGCTTTCCTCCTGGATTACTTTTGGAGATTAGTGATGGGGAATGCGGCCGGAGGGGGTTTGGAGCTTGAGTCGGCCGACGGCAGAGAGAACAGGAACTCACTTGGTGTGGTTTCAGCGATGAGTGACCCCACAATGCATCTGCAGAAGAAGCAATCTTCTACCCCCAAACTTCCAATGCCTCCAGAAGAGGAGCTGGAGGAGCGCTTCAATGTGGTGCTGGTAAGAAACTGAGATCCACACCTTTAATGCATATGAAAACAAACCAGATTGTAGATGCAGCTGGTGAAGCTTTAGGAATGATGAAGGTCTTGCTCATAAACCATTGATCAAGAGACACAGACATAGCAAAATACATCAACCAAGACCTAAAGTAAATAGGTAATAGTAATTTGTTCACGTTTGCAAAGATTTCTATACTTATGGTGTGTTTTGCCATCATTTCTCTCACTTTATGTAGCAAAATCTAATGCCATTTATTGTTATGTTTGAAAATGATCTATAATTTGACATTTTGAGCCAATGCTCGGTAGTATTTCTATGTATTTTTGAAATGCCAGACTAGGAGATGGGTGATTGGTTTCTGCATGGGTAACTGGCCTGAAGGGGAAGTTGAGCAACACACTTTTAAAAAAACACACAGGACCGGAAAGCAATGTTTCACCATTCTTTCGACAGTCCCTAAAACCTGGATAAAAATCCCCAAACTTTGCAAGAAATACTTATAGTTTAAATTACAAAGTCCCCTGTGGAATTTCTCATTTGTTTTAATGTAGAAATATGTGTTAAGGTGATTAAAAAATAAGATCGTTTTGGGCTGATCTGGCAAATGTTGATGTCATCAAAGCAATTCATTAAAGAAATGTGATCTGGACAAGAATAAGTCAGATAAAAACAGTATTAACTCCCATACTCTGGTGCATCTGGGTGACAGGATATGTACGTAAACATCACAGCAGGAAGCAATGGTTTGCTTAAATTAAACTAGTGAGGAGTTAACAGTATAAAAATAGGAATTGATTTTAACTGTTTTAAAAAAAAAGTGTTTCCTTCTAATGTATGTCAAAAAGAAGATTCAAAAAGTTCCCCATGGAGCTTATAATCACTTAAAGTGTAAGTTTAAGTTCTTAAAAGACCTATGAAACATTTAATCTATGGCAACCCCATGATAAAGAAAAAACAAACAAACATCGAAACAAAAAAATAATAAAATAAAAGAACCCTTAGCTGTTGAGTAAATGCAATTTCATATAAGACAACAAAGGGGAAATATTACATTAGCTAACATGATTACTAAAGTACTACAATGACTTGTCTAACTAGAGCCCAGATGACTGCAGATTGATGATAAATCTTATGCAACCCAACAATAAATATCCTGTTTTTGCTGTGAAAAGAATGTTCATGGCTTTCATCTAACTTAGTATCATTTTAAAAATGAGTCAATAAAAGATGAATATTTGTCTGAAACGTTTAAACTATTGACTTATTTTGTCTTAAAGTAGATAGGCTGCTGCCTTGCAACAAGGAGGTTCTGATGTTGATGCCTGTGGTCTTCCTGCGTGGAGTTATCCACGTGGATATCTGGCTTCTCTCTGGGAACTCTCACTTCCTTTCTCAGTCATGAAAAAAAAAGAATGTTTAGTGAACTTTTAGTTTTTAATTACCCTCCGGTTCGGTTCTGTCACAACATGGATGCACCCCACCTCTAAGCAACAAATGCTGGAATAGTCCTGCAGGAGTTGGCTACTATAGGCAGCAGATAGATGGATAGATAAAGACTGTCTTAAACCTCTTAAGATAGCTGTTTATTTACATCATACAGAAGTTTCTATAAGATATTAATTGGTTATAACATATTATTTGCTGTGTATGGTTTGTGTTCGGTCAAAGTGGCAGAAAAGCAGGGATTCTATTCTAACTTGACCTCTGATCAACATCTATCAATGTATTTTATATATCTTTGACGTATGCACCAACATGAGGGCATTATGTTGATTCTTGACTGCAATGTACATGTAGAGGTGATGTCAGTTCAGGCTGGATGGCTGCCACATGAAAAAAGTTTTTCCCGTCTTACGGATTCCCTTCTGCTTTTTTGTCAAATTTTAATGTTTCAGATCAAGATACAAAAATAAGCTCTGTAAATAAAATTAAAAAAAGTTTCAAAATGACATTTCATATAAAAAAAAAAAGAGAGAGAAAGAGGCAGTGAACCAGAGTGAATGCTGTTATTCACAGCTTGCCTTCTAAAATTACTCCAACAGAAGAGAAACTAGAACAAGTAGAAGATGGCAGACCTTACTTACCTCACACAGTTAACCTAAGTGGTCAGGTTTGAACTAGAAAGAAGAAACAGTGAGGGTATGGCATCTAGTAGACAGTGCCAAGCCAAAGCTAGACAAAACTTAGAAATTATAAAATAGAATGTCACATTTTTCCTAAATAACATCCTGCTGATTTCTAACCCTTTGGGGAAATACTCTGTGGGCCTCTTGTTAAATTTAGTGTGAAACTAACACAGCATTTTAGAAAAGAACATTATACTGATGGCCAAACACGGTAATGGGAGTGTCATGGTTTGGGGTTGCTTTGGTTCTTTAGGACCTTGCGTGCCAAAGTTTTGCTCGCTGCCAAATGACTCAAAGGGGGATTTCCAACCATTAGTTTGGAATTTAAGTTCATGTAAACTTTAGTAACGGAGGACAGTGATCCAAAGACTGCCTTACTGTAGGTTCACCTCTGAGTAGAGAGGCCAAAATTCTGGGCTTAACTGAATGAAATACTTTCGGTTTAGATAGTTTTCATCCCTTCATAAGTGAAACACAAACTTTGAAACTGTTTTAATATAACATATGTGTGTGACAAATTAGAGTTATCTCACCTACTGAACCCACATGACCACTGCTGCCTTGTGTCTGTTACGCCCTTTCATATGAATGCATGACCTCACTTCCTCTTTTCTCAGAACACTTCCACTGTAGGCTGAAGACGAGCTAAAAACAAGACAAAAATTCAGCATTAACTCCCCTAAGAAATGAGAAGTGCACCTTTTCTGTCTTTATTTTGACCCGTTTCTTGTATATCAGAAAGTATGTGACTTACATTATCACCTGTCTTTTATTTTCAACCACAAAAACCCCAAAGGGGCTCCACCCTTGCCCCTTTCAAGGGTAAGGCGGGACTCCTCTGCAACAAGCCAACGGGCCATTTCCGTTTTGAACCTCTTCTGTTTTAAATATGTGCAAAAGAAACACCAAGCTGCTGTTTGGGTGCGCACAGGGTAACTGAAAACCCCACCCAGTGCTGACTGCAATTGTTTGTCTTGACGGTAAACTGTTTTTGCATTGTAGGTCAGCTAAACTTTACAGTATTGTTGGTTAGGACTTTAAATAGTGTAAATGGTAATTTTGTACAAGAATGTAATCATTTAATCACAAGCTCCCTTCTTTAATGCTGAATCAACCACAGCATTTATTTTTGGTCCTTGTTTTCTTGATATCTTAATCCTTTAATGAGGAAGAAATTACG